TTCCTAGAAATTCCTGACGATGATTTTGGTTCGAAATTTTCACCATTTTGAGCGCAATATTTTCTTCTTCCAATGCATTAACGCGCAAGTTTCCAGCTCTCTTCATTTAGAAGAAATTGATTGTCTTCGAAAGGACTGCGAAAATGCGCCTGAACTATTGTTGAAGCCAAAAGCGGCAAAAGTTTAAAAATTCTTCCAGAAATTCCTGATGATGGTTTTGTTTCAAAACTTTCACCATTTCTTGCGCGATATTTTGTCCTTCCAACGCGGTGATGCCCAATTTTGCGTCTCTCTTCGTTTGGAAGAAATTGATTGTCTTCGAAAACACTGCGAAAATGAGCTCGAATACTTCTTGAAGCCAAGAGCGGCAAAAGTTTAAAAACTCGCCGAGAAATTCCTGATGATGATTTTATTTCGAAATTTTCACAACGTGGAGCGCAATCTTTTCTCTTTCCGATTCAACAAAGCGCCAGTTGTGTTCTCTTTCCATTTAGAAGAAATTGACTGTTTTAGAAAGCGCTGCCAAAATGAGCCTGAAAACTTGTTGAAGCGAAAAGCCGCAAAAGTTTAAAAAAATTTCCAGAAGTTCCTGCTGATGATTTTATTTCGAAATTTTCACAATTTTGAGTGCAAACTGTTCTCCTTTCAACCCAATAACGCGCCCTTCGTAATCTCTCTTCATTTAGAAGAAATTGACGATGTTCGAAAATGCGCCTGAAAGCTTTTTAAAACCAAAAGCAGCAAAAGTTTAAAAGTTCTTCTAGAAACTGCTGAGCATAATTTTTTTTGGAAATTTTCCTAACTTTTAAAACATTCCTTTTTCCTTCCAACGCGATAACACAACAGTTCGTATCTCTCTTCAGTTGGAAGAAAATAATTTTCTTCGGAAGTACTGCGATAATGCGCTTGAAAGCTTGTTGAAACCAAAAACCATAAAAGTTAAAAAATTTTTTTAGAAATTCGTGATGATGATTTTGTTTCGAAATTTTCACAATTTTGAGTGCAAACTTTTCTCCTTTCAACCCAATAACGCGCACATTGTAATCTGTCTTCATTTAGAAGAAATTGACTGTCTTCGAAAACACTGTCCAAATGAGCTCAAAAGCTTCTCGAAGCCAAAACAGGTAAAAGTTTAAACGGTCTTCTATGAACTGTTGAAAATGATTTTTTTTCGAAATTTTCACAATTTTTAGAACCGTCCTTTTTCCTGCCAAAGCGATATTACACCAGTTCGTATCTCTCTTCAGTTGGAAGAAAATAATTGTCTTCGGAAGCGCTGCGAAAATGCGCCTGAAAGCTTATTGAAGCCAACAGCGGCAAGAGTTTAAAAATTCCTATAGAAATTTGTGATGATGATTTAATTTCGAAATTTTCCAAATTTTGAGCGCAATCCTTTCTTCTTTCAACCTAAGAACTTGCAAGTTGTCATCTCGCTTCATTTAGAAGAAATTAATTGTCTTCGAAAACACTGCGAAAATGCGCTTGAAAGCTTGTTGAGTCGCAAAGTGGCGAAGGTTCAAAAAATCTTCTGGAAATTCCTAATGACGATTTTTTTGCCAGATTTTCAGAATTTTAAGCGCAATTTTTTCTCCTTCCAACGCAGTGACGCGCCAGTTCGTATCATTCTTCAATTGGAGGAAATTAATAATCTTCTGAGCGGAAATGCGGAAATTTTTCTAGCTCTGCTAATGCCAGTAAATCACAAATTTCGGATTGTTTTTGCAATTTCTGATAACAGTTTAACAGAATAAACTGTTCTTTTTCTACTGAAATAACACTCAATCTGGCATTTGGCTTCACTTGGAAGAAATTTGTTGTCTATGGGAACAGTGCGGAAATGTACTTTGTTATAGTGGAAAAAGTCAAGTTTGAAAAATTCTCTAGAATTGCCTGATGATGGTGGACTTTCGAAACTTTTCTGATTCATA